GTTATATTTTATTCCTCCCCCTGCTAGACATGATAAAGAAACTGATACATATGGACAGTCTCTTATGCTCCCCCACCCTACTAGACCTTCTTTTCTAGCCTGTTCTTATATCTGTATCATTTTTGCCTCATCCAAGTTTATATACTCTGCATTCTCTAATTTCAGTCCCCACATTTCAATCAGTGCTTTGATGGGTGCTCACTTCTAGTCACTTCTAGGTTTTGCATTCATTTCTCTGCTGACTGGACTTTATCCTCTAGTATTTTCTCGAAAAAAGGAATCAGCTAGTTATAGGTTTGAAAATAATTTTCTGGGGCACCCAGTCAATTAAGCATCTGCCTTCAGCTTAGGTCATGATCCTCAGGGTCCTGGGATCGAGGCCCACATTGGACTCCCCGCTCAGTGGGGAGTCTGCTTCTCCCTCTCTTCCCTGCTTGTGTGCATGCTCTCTCTCTCTCTCTCAAATAAATAGATAAAATCTTTAAAAAATTAATTTGCTGTTACTAAATATTTGAGCAACACTTTAGTTGCTAGAAATTGCTCAGGTTACACTTTCTTTCCTGTGTCCTTCTAAGCATGGCTCCATTGCCATCTGGCCGTGAGTGCTGCTGTGGGGAAATCTGCTGTCTTTTCCCATTGTCAGTGACTTGATCTTTTTGTCTGGCTGCCTAAAATATTTTGGGCTCTATCTCTGAAATCTGGTAACTTTTATCAGGACATGCCTCCGTGCTCATTATTCTTTGCCATGTTTTCTTGGAATGAGGCTTTGCTTTTCAGTCTGAAACTGAGACCTTCTTTCATTTCAGGATAGGATCTTGAATTTCTCTTCAGATACCTTTTCTGTTCCATCACCTTGGTTCTCTTCTTTAGGAGTCCTGTGCTTCAGCCCCAGCTCAGGGCCCTTGGCCTCCACAAACATCTGTCCCCTCATTGGAAAAAATAGAGCTCATCCTCCTTGCCTCCCACAAAATTGCTTTATGTCGCATCTCCTTGACGTGTCTTCCTTGTCTATCATTTTTGCCAAATCTGTTTCAGTTGTTTATTCATTTTATTACATTCACTTTTTCTCAGTCATTAACTCCATGTACCTCTCTGTGTTCAGTGGTATCTCTCTTCTTCTTCTGCTCTCAGTGTTGTCCTCATTGGCCATTTGATTTTATTCTTTCTTACCTTCCTTGGCCCAGTTATGATGGTCGATAATTTATCTCCTTTGACCTGACCATCTTTTCCCTGAATTCTTATGTATTTGCTTTTTGCAAGTAAAAAAAAAAAAATTACTATGGTTTAAAAAAATAATAATGCACATAGGTTTGGACATTTTTTTTAGCCATATGATGATCATATTATCTGGTGAGTATTCTTCACATGCTTTCTTCTCCCTCTTTATTTGTACTAATTTGTGTAAACCCTATACTGATTGTTTTTGACTGTTGCTCACTCTGAGTTATTCTTGGACCAGCGATTGATAGGATATTCATTTTGGAGATTGTCAGAGTTATTTCCAGGCTAACAGGGATTTTTCTTATGAGAGGAGTATGGGTTCTGACCTAAAGAGACCAGCAGTTGCAAGACTGCCCACTGTGCACTCTGTCTCCTGCTGTGAGGAATGGCTTCCTACTACATGTAGGGTCTCTCCTTATAATTTCCTTGTGAAGCCCTGATTTTCCTACTTCTGCCTGGTGATAGGTTGGGTCCAGAGAATCTTCCTTCGCCAGTTTAAGCATGCATTTCTCTCCTTATCTTCCCTTTCTCTAAATAGTTTTACTATAAATAGTATACTGTGTTTGCATAAAAACGCATGTTTCATTTAGAGCTTGATTAGCTTTTAGAGAGTGAACACATCTGTGGAGCCACTACATAGGCTGAGAGCCAAGATATGAACCTTGATCAATGAACTCCCAGTCCAGTACTTCTGATCCAGCTCAGGCCCTTGACCTCTACAAATATGCACCTCTTCTTTGGAAAAATGGAAAGAATAGAGAAAGCCCTGTCCTGCCTGCCTCCCATAGCTGTCAAGAGCCTCGGACACATGTCAGATACTTTGTCATTTGGAAAGCACAACACAAATGCCAGCTCTCTAAAAGGCATCACAGTAACAAGCATTCATGCTGTCCATACTGTTTTTCCAGTATTGAAAATGAGTCACAGAGGGGCGGCTGCTTAGTTTGGGCACACAGGGCAATGCTGATGGCCGAGCTGGGGTCAGAGGCTGCCACTCTAAAGTTGCCTTCTCTGCTCAATCCCCTTGTCTTCGTTTTGAGACTAAACAGAAAAGTAACCACTGTTCTGACTCCCAGCACCACCATTTTCTCCTACTTGTTTCTGAAGTTCATATAAATGGGATCATGCCGTATTCCATTGTTCTCGTAGACCATATTCCTCTGTTGATGGCCACTTGGGCAGTTTCTAACTTTGGGACGAATACAAAGATTGTTTCTAGGAACCTTCTTGACAAAATGTTTTTGGTGAACATAGACACACGTTTCTGCCCAGTGCATACCTAGGAGTGGCACTGTTGAATATTAGAATGTGCATGTCTTCAGCTTTAGTAAGTACTGTCAAAGAGTTTCTCAGAGTTGTTGGACCAAGTTAGAAGCTCGGCATTAATTTAAGAACGTTCTTATCACACCACATCCTTCCCAACACTTTGTATTCTCTGTCTCTGTTGAGTCATTCTGGTGGGTGTGTAGAGGTAAGGACTGGTGGTTTTAATTAGCCTTTCCCTGATGGCTGATGAAACTGAGCGCCTGCTCATATGTTTATTGGCTTTCCTTACATTTAAATGCCTTCATTTGTGAAGTGTCCACGTTTTTTGCCCATTTTTCTACTGCACCGTTTTAATTGTCCACGGGGGCTTTTGTTTCCTGTTTTTTACGTGTATTCTAGATACAAATCCTTTGTTGGTTCCATGCATTACAAATATCTCTCCCATGTATTACAGATGCCCTCTCTCACTTTCTTACAGTTGTCTTTTGATAAACGGAAGTTCTTTATTTTAATATAGTACAAGTCATTAATTTTTTCCGTTTACGGTTAGTACTTTTTGTGTTCTACGTAAGAATGCTTTGCCTGACCTCATCTCCTTTTCTCTGATGATTAGAAAGATTTTATGGGAACGTGCTGTCTATAAAGTGCCTAACAGTTCACACTGCCTTCTTCCTCTCCCTCCTGATGGGGCAGGTGTGTCTCCTAATCCCAAGCACTCCTCCCCCATAAATTACCTTCAGAGTCAGCCTGTCTCATGAACACGTGTCCACACACTGACACCACACTCCCGAAGAGCTCTGGGGTCAAGGTGCATGGAATCAAACATTTAATGAGGTGCAGTCTGTCTTTATGGGACCAGCTGGTAGTGTGCTCGGGGTTCTCATCTTTTTACCATTCCATGGAGAGGTGAGCAGTAATGGGAACGCAGGGGCTTTCCTGACCCCAAATGTGCACCATTCCCCTTGAATCATCAACTTCTTTAAAGGCCCAGAGCAGCTTCCACATACTTGAGAAATGAGGAAGTGCCATGGGCTTTTGAGCTCTTTGTCAAAGCCCCTCCAGCTCTGCTTTCCTTCCCTTTTTCTCCTTTTGTCTCTTCAGCTTCCAAATACTTTCTGATTTGAGACAGCACAGTATACATCTATTCTGTGCAGATGTTTGAGAGTACTTGGAAAGGCAGCCCTCTGCACGAAGCGAGGCACATGCTTTGCAAGCTCCACTGTGACTGTCCTGAGCAAGGACACTTGACCCTCACCCAGCCCAAAATGCACCCACAGGTGCCCTGGTCACACCCCAGAGGGTGAAGTCTTCCTTGCTCCAGCCCAGGCCTCTTCCCCATGATTGGGCTTGGCATCCTGGAAGCACTGCTTCTTTAAAAGAGCCTTCACTACATCTGTTCTCAATTTTCAGACCACGAGGCGAGGATTTGGGTGCAAGTAGTTTATCTGGGAAGTGATCCCAGGAAGCACTGTGAGGGGGCAGGAACGTGGGAGAGGAGGGTGGAGAGACCAAAGTGCACTGAAGGGCAGGCGACCGCAGGGACAGTGGGGCCATCCCACCAGGACCCTCTGAGAGAAGTGAGGAGCTTGCCTCGGAGCCGTCCCACCAGGGGAGATGGGCTGTCCAGCTCCCATTCCTGTGGTCCAGGGTCACTCCAAGGTCAGAGGATGGTCTCTGGCAGAGAGACTGGAGAAGCAGCAGCCGGTGTGTACAGACACTGAGTATGCTCTGAGTCCTGCAGGGGATACTGAGGCAGCCAGGGAGTATGCTAGCCATGTGTGCTCCAGTTCTTTTCATAAATGGTTCCATCCTGAGTACTTGGTCAACGTGCAGGTTTTCTATTAACACAAACGGGAGTCTGTTTTTAAATGCCTGGCCTTGTTGAAGGAGAATTATTTTAATTGTATATTTGTGCATGTTAAGAAATTCCTTAGGTGAAATAACTGTAAGAAATTATGCATAAGTCAGCTGAACTAGAAAATGGGTGGCCACAGGGAGAGTGGAAAACCTTCTTTAACCCCTTGGGGTCTCTGAGCCCTTTACTGGCCTTCGGGCTCTGGCTTTTAGGCCTGTGTAAGGGCCCCTCCAGCCTCAGCAACAGAACTGCCTCTTCTAGCAGGCCCTCCCTGAGGAGGCGAGGCCAGGGAGAGTCTTCTCCCGTGCACTCTGTCTGACCCATGGGTATCTGCCTCACATCTTCCTACATTTAAACGGAAGTTATGTGTTAATGGCGCCCAGCCTGCACCCTGCATTGGACACCCCCTCAGTAGCTAATGCAGAAATTGCTGAACCGAATCCCCCGAGACAAGGCCCTCCTAGGAGTCAATGCACAGAATTTTGTGGAATTAAAATGAACCAGTTGAATGATGCACTTTTATATCCAGATTCATAACCCTCCTTCTTCCCTTCATATTTCAAATTCCAAATCCAAACCAGTCATTGGGCCCCACCTTCCAACCCCAGGAGTGACCTGTTTATGGCGTTCTAGGCAGTTGTGTTCCTTCCCTTGTCAGCAGCATCTGATGTGTGCTGGACTGTGGTGCCTGGTGGAAGGAGATACGTCCTGCAAGACCAAGCTGGACCCTCCTCTGGACGGCACCGAGTGTGGGGCAGACAAGGTAACCCCCACTTCCCATGGCCCTCCCCTGGCCCCCATCTCCTGGGCATTGGGCAAGTCTCCTGAAGGTTAAGTCTCCACACCATATTCGTGCTCTACACTCCCCCCGGGCTGCCCCAGAAAGGGCCATGGAGCCCACTCTGGGCAAAGAGGGACACTTCTATCACCTCTCTCCTTTTTTTCTGATAAGATACAAGAATTGCTTAATATTTTTATTAAATTGACTCTTTTTTTGAATTTCCTTAAAAAACAAAAACAAAACCATTTACATCAACAAATCATACATGGGAAAACAGGATCGCTGGTCATACACAAAAGGCTATCCCAAAACGAGTTCAATGAGCACAGTGTTAGCTGAGTCTAGCTAGAGGTTGAGAGAGCGAGCCCCAGGCCTAATGTTCATTAACAGGAGAGACTGATGTTGGAGAGGAGGGGTGTTCAGGGCCCGCAGCCACAGATTTCTCCTTAGTCCTAACTGCAGGAGTGAACCAGATGCCATGATGGGAAACCACTAAATCACCTCTCGTGGCCCAGAAGTGCCAGGCACGCTGGGCAATTCCATTGTAGAGGAGTGGCTTTCTCTTATTCTTGGAGCCAGGGTTCACCCCTGTGGAGCTGGCAGTGTCCTCTCCAAGCACCAAACCCAACTTTGGAGTGCAAAACCACGGAGCCAGGAAGCACAGCCTTCCAGAGAGACGAGGAGCTCACGTGAAGTGAAGTTTGCCTAAGCTAGGGTCTCTTCATGTGCCCTGTGAATTAATCCTTTCTCTGAGAATTGAGAAAACTCCAAGGGAGCCCATTCCGTATGGCCTGTTAGGGCAAAATGCAAAGCCCACAGGTATATACATGTCAGGGCGAGTAAGAAGGACGGTCTCCAGAGTTAACAAGCATGCCTATCCCCGAAAGGGCCTACTTTTGTGTAAGTTACAAAAAGCCACTGGGAATGGCCTGGTGTTTTCTCACTTGGAGGGAATTGCAGTGATATGGCGAGCAAGCAGGTGGGATTCCTTGGCGCTGAGTGGCCCTGGGGGCCGGGGCCTGCCCTGCTGTGTTTCAGTGGTGCCGCGCAGGAGAGTGTGTGAGCAAGACGCCCATTCCGGAGCACGTGGATGGAGACTGGAGCCCGTGGGGTGCTTGGAGCATGTGCAGCCGGACGTGTGGGACAGGAGCCCGCTTCCGGCAGAGGAAGTGTGACAACCCCCCGTAAGTCCCCCTTGACCAGGCATTCTCCAGGGTGCCCTGATCGGGGTTTCCAAATCGCAGCTCTTCCCACCTGATTCCAAGAAGGGTCTGTCTCCTGAGGAGAATTTGAGCTTAAGGGGACAAAAAATGAAATCCCCTCCAATATGGCGTCTTGGCTTCGACAGAGCTCTAGCTGTGAACATGGATGCAGGAAGTCCCGTGGTGAGCTGGCTCCTTATTCCTCGTGTGGGCCTGGGTAGAAAGCTTTCGGGAGACAGCTGGGTGACAATCTCCTTTTGCAGGCGTCCTCAGTCAGGGTCATTCTGGGGAAGCCTGTGGACCTTTGGAAGAATAGCTGCCCTTCAGATTGGCTATGAGCTGATCTGGGAGCTGCCTGGCTGTGAATGAGTCACAAAGCATCTGGGGGTTCAGCTGTCTTGTTCATCCAGATATTTTTCACCTGTGCTCTTAGAACTGTTTGACAGAAAACATTTTTTTGTTTTGTTTTGGTTTTGGGGAAGGGTTTTTCCCCCTCATTGGCTTCCTTTCATTGACCTTGATGATGACCCCTCTTGTTTTTGGCACATTTGTTCCAGAAAGCTCAGGGCTAGATTTGTGCTTCATTACAGTAATTCCTTTCCCACAGGTTTTTCTCTTCTCCTCTGAGATTTCCATTTTTACTATTTCATAGAACAGTCTGCTTTATGTCTCGTGTGCGATCAGCTGGATCACATTAATTTTGCAAATGAATGAGTTACAAATTATGAGTAAAGAGAAATGCTTTATATCCACAGTTAAGTCATATTGATGAATAAGTAGCAAACCCCTCTTTTGTTTAAAAATTCTGATGCCCAGACTTTATCCCAGAGCAATCAACCCACAGATTCTGGAGCTGGGACCCGGGAACTGGATGTTTTAACTCTACAGATGACCTCAATGGCTGGCCAAGGTCGAGAACCTGCCGTTTAAAGGAGACTGACCTCACAGTTTAGTCAAGGTCAGAAGCACTCTCCGGCCCCCAGTAGTGCTGTAAGAATTGGTATCACATACTGTGTCTTATTAAAACTTTTCCTTCCAGTATTTAGCAGAGTACCTGAAAAATAGTAGGTGGGTTTTTAATCTTTTAGGAATGACTTCTTAATTAAAAGCATGGAGGAAGTACTGGGATTCTCTAGAGAAACAGAATCAAGGAATATATATATACATGATTTGCGATGAGAAATTGGCTCATAGGGTCCCAGTATCTCCCATCTGTAAGCTGGAGACCCAGGGGAGCTGGTGGCGTCATCCCATCCGGGTCTGAAGGCCTGAGAACCTGGGAAGCTGATGGTGTAAATCCCAGTGGGAAGGCAAGAGACGATGCAGAGGGTGGTCCTAGTGGGGGTAGAGGGCGCACGGGGTGGATGTGAATTCCTCCTCCTTCTGCCTTTTTTTCTGTTGAGGGCTTCAGGGATTGGGTGATGCCCTTGGGGAGGGCCATCCAGATCCCTGCATCTGTAGATTCAGATGCCAGTCTCGTCCGGAGACCCTCTCATAGACATACCCAGAAATAACCTGTAAGTCAATCAAGTTGACACAGAAAAGTAACCATCACAGATGTGTAGTTGGTTAGAAAGCCTGTTGAGCTAAATGGTGAGAAATTAATAGAGGCTTCAGTTTTTTTCAAAGCTCTGTGAGGAAGTTAAAATAGTTCCGTCTGTGGTCCTGAGAAGAGAGCTCTCTGGGCCGCTGGGTGGCTCAGTCAGTGAAGCATCTGCCTTTGGCTCAGGTTGTGATCCTGGGGTCCTGGGATCAAGCCCTGAGTCAGGCTTCCTCTTCCCCCAATCCTGCTCCTGTGCTTGCTCTCTCTCTTACTCTTCCTCCCTCTCTCAAATAAATAAAATCTTAAAAAAAAATTAAGAAGAAGAAGAGAGTTCTGGGTTTGGAATCAGGATGCTGAGATTTGGGCCTGGCTTGTCTGTTGGTCATGTGACCTCAAGGATGCCCCTTCTTAGTTCCGCCATTAGAGGGAGCTGGCAGGGCATCACGGGAAGAGCTGGTCTTGAGGCAGAAACAGAGAAGGCTTCAGTCCCCGCTCCTTACAGCAGCCCATGGCTACTACGTGTGTTGTCTCTCTCTGAAGTTGGGATAATTCATGGGAATCCCTATAAAGGACATGGTCTGTATTGAGGACGTGGCCCTCTCCATCTTACATGAACAGAGAACGGTGATGAGACTATGTGCCCCATCACCAAACTCCCAGCACATGTGAGGCTCAGAGGAGTGTGATTTATGCGGAAAGGCTTTGTTCAGAGCAGGGCACGATTTGCAAGAGTTGTAGCCGTCCCGGTGCTTCATGTTTGCATCCAGAGCTCTTATACCCTGGCAGAGGATCAGTCTCCTTTAGCACATCATTCCGTATCAGACGTCACCCAGGAATGTCATAAGAGGGGCATAGCAGAACTGTTAAATGCCTAGAAGGATCCCGTGGCCCCGAGACAGTGGACAATTGGATTGTATTGAGGTGAGGACAACCCTTACAAGAATATAAGATGTCATCAGTGCTGAGCAGACACATTAGCCACACCTAAGGGCCTGACTCTGTCTGCTTGGCATGACCTTGGCTAGGGCCTCCCCCATACTTTGGCTGGACCCATTGTTCCGATCGCAGCTGTTTTCTGCCCTCACCAGTCTTAAAGAACCCCTGCTTCAGAAAGCCAAACTAACATGCCCTCCCCCACCAGCCTGGCCTGCTGTGAGATTTCATGGGCTGGGTCCTTACTCCATCCCTCCAGGCCCATTGGCCTCAAGACAGAGGCTGTTCCAGAAACCCCAAAGTTGCTGTAAAAATCTTCCATTCCTTTTATTAGGTGCCCCCCTACCCCACCCAGTGGTGGTCATGAGTTTTATCTCTCTTTGCACCTCTTCCTATGTCTCATAATTGAGGAATGGCAGAATTTGCCAGGCCTCTGCAAACAGGCCACTGAGGGATATGTGGGTCCCAGCTCATCAGATGGCTATGGGCCCTGACACATCCCTGGAGAGAAGTCTTTATGCCTGATCTCGGTCGTCCAGCCACATCCCACGGGCCAGGCAATAGTAGAAGGATGAGAAAGAGAATGATGGTGTTCTCATGTCTCTTGGCTCCTCTGCCCCGTTTCAGTCATGCCTTCCCAACATGGTACCTTCAGTACACCTTGACAGGGCTCTGATTCTGGACCAGGATCTCTGCTAGGTCTAGGCTTATAGTGACAAGCAAAAACAGATAAAGTCCTTGCCCACTCTCGATGGACACAGTCCTGCCAACTTCCCTCAGTCTTCTCCTGGATGCCTCAAACCTGACTCTTCCCAGACTGTGATCTCTCCTCCCAGTGCACATCTCTGCTCTCCATTAACAGCACCACCCTCCATCACATGGCTCCAGGCCAAAGCCTCTGAGTCCATGAATGGTCCCCTTGTCCCCTCTTCTCCTCTTCCACAACCTCTCATGATAAGAATGGCAAACGCACCATGCCAGTTCCCTTCTCGGCATTTACATGTAGTAAATCAATGAATGCTGCCCTACAGGACGGGTGCTCTTTCTTCACCCTAGAAACTGAGTTGTGGAAAGGTTAGGTAACTTGCCCACGGTCCACTGGTGTAGAGCCCAGTGGTGAGGCTCCGTTGTTCTCTCAGACCTTTTGTACTGGCCTGCCTGCTTCCCGGAGCATAATCCCTGCCCCCCAGATTCATTCTCCACACAGAACCAGAGATCCACTTAAGCATAAATCCAGTTCTCTCTCTTCCTTCTACAGCCCTTTCTACCAGTCTCTGCTGCACTTAGAATGAAGTCCATACTCTTAACCATGGTCTCTGCATTCATTTCCTGGGGCTGCCGTCATAAAGTACCACAACTTGGTGTCTTAAAACGGCAATTTATCCTCTCTCCATTGTAGAAACCAGAAGTCTGAAATCAAGGTGTTGGCAGGATTGATTCTTTTTCAAACCTGAAGGAGGATTCATCACACCCATGCCTCTCCCTGAACTTCTGGTGGCTTCAGGCACTCTCTGGCATGCTTTGCCTTTGTAGACTTGCCTCTGTCTTCATATGGTCTTCTCTCCTCTTCTCATGACACCTGTCACTGGATTTGAGACCCACCCCCAGTCAGAATGATCATCTCTCCTACTTAAGAGATCCTCAATCCTCAAAAGGGTCTACCAAGACCCTTTTTCCAATTAAGGTCACATTCAAAGGTTCTAGGTGGGCTTATCTTGGAGGGGAAGGGGCCACTGTTTCAACCCACTGCAGAACTTCTCTCTGTCCTCAGAGCACTCCAAGCTCTGGACATTTTTCAGTATCCCTTCCCTCTCCCCAGCTTGCCGTGCCCCTCCTTGGGTCTCTGAGTAAATGTCTTCTCAGGCCTCCTTCCCGACCACCTTGCACAAGGCAGGGTGCCGGCTTTACCCTCTCTCTCAATGCCCTTTTCCCACGTTACAAATGTTACAACAATTTATAACACTTGCTCTTATGTCCTTGCTCACTTGTTTTCACTTTGCCTTCCCCCGCACGGGGCTTTGAACTCCATAAGGCCGCCTGGGGCTGGGCACCATTCTCCTTTCCATGCTTCTAACAGAATAGCCCTCTATGACACATGCCACCTCCCTCACTACTTGGAGGCATGTTTGCTGAGAAAAAGCAGTCTCTGCTTGCCAGCGCCCCAGAACCCCACTTGATACAGTTTTTTCCCCCAAAACTTGAAGGTTATTGTAAATTATTAGGCCAAGAAGGCAGGTCACTAGCTAGCCACCCTTTCTTGTACCATCACACCTCACAGAGGCTCCGATGCTGTGGACAGCCCTGAGTCAGGGCTCAGGTTCCCCTGCATATGAGGGTCCCCTTCTGCCATGCCTGCCCTGCCCCAGGGAGGTTGTAGCCCACAGTTAGGGGACCTCAGGGTCCTCTCCAGAACAAACTCCCAGCCCTGTTTATCCTGAGTGAGAGAAACAGTTATGTCTTTGCTTCTATAATATTTATGCCTGGTCAGTCTGTTCAGTCTTGTGCA